ATCCCCGTAGAGGGCAAAGGCAAAGCACCAGCTGCCCCGGCTCCGGCCCTGCAGCCACCCCCCAGCCGCCGCTCAGCACCACCGCCTACCCTGTGCATCCCTGTGTAGAACCGAACAGGGAAGATCAAGAGAAACTTACCGCTCCAGTCTTCTCCAGCTATCTGCGGAACTAAGTAGGAGATAGTATAGTTGGTAGCAGTGAGGGGTGCAAAGTTCCTGCAACTTGGACGTGCAAAGTTTGCCACCTGGGTGTTTTGGCGCGCTCAGCAGCAATTCCTATTGGCTTTCAAAAGCCAATAGGGGGAGTAGCACAGCTCAGGCAAAAGTTGAAAAAAAACATCAAAAAAGGTCCCGGAACGCCTTCTGAGCGTTCTATGAGGGAAAAAAAGCCCTGCAGATAAGTCTTCAAATATAGAAAAAGAGGACATTTAGGAGGACATTTTCGAGGGAGGACAGAACTCACAAAAGGAGGACTGTCCTCCCAAAAGGAGGACGGTTGGTCACCTTAAATTTAAAGAGTAAGATATTTATTATTGTATAATCTTTCATGGATTAGTTTATTTTTTTATGCAAAATTTCTTTTCAAAATGACATTATAGTATTGGAATTCACAAGCCAAGTCTGGTAGTTCTAAGATTTCCTTACCCACAATAACTAAGTAAACTGTTATTGTTTTAACTCATACAAGTTCCTGGTTTAGATCATGGTCATCCAACCTTTTGGCTTGCCTGGAGTCATACTGAGTGAAGAGGAATTGTATTGGGCTGCATATAAAATATGTAATATAATTAATGTATAAAAATAACAAAGTTCTTTTATTATATATTATTTTATTATCTTGTGGGGACCACATTACTAGCTATCCAAGGCCATGGGTTGGATACAGCTGGTTTCACTATGGCTTAAAAACAAATAATTGGGTTCATATAACACTGTAAGCTACAAAAATGTAAACTACGTATTGCCTAAGTATGGAAAATGTTTCTTTGCATTTTCATTTTGAATACATCTACTCTTTTGATGTAATTTGTATTCCATTATTGGAAGAATTATTTTTTTAAAAAAGTACCCACTTAGAGGCAAGGGGTAACAATAGAAATCATTGCTGCTCTGAAAATTCCCACAACTCTGAATAATTGGCATTTCACCAAATAAAAGATGACATTAAATGTCCAGAATGAAATCAGATTAATTCTGAAACAAAATGTTAGTATTTTGAAGTTATTTCAGAGTGTTTTTATGTAGAGAGAACAAGTAAAATGCCAGATCGTAGATTAAATTAACAGAATAAACTAAAATGTAGCTTTGATTTAATTAGGACACTATGGTTAGCTTATGGTTTAGTGTCTCAGCTGTTGTGTCAGTATCAATCAATCCAATCAATCAATTTATTACAGCCAAAGGCCACACTAGTTTCAGTACCAGTAATTACTTACCCAAACCATAGCTAATAAGCTTGTCAAATATTTAGATTTTAAAAAACCAAACAATAAGTCCAAAATGGTCCTAGTATCTTGTGACTGTTTAAATTAGATTACTTTATTTTAAAAGTCAAAATATATCATGAAATAAACTACACTTTTTAGTACAGATAGTCCTCGAGTTACAACAAATTTCTCAGCAACATAAATTTTGGGCTTAGTTGTTAAGTGAGTTTTGCCCCATTTTACGACCTTTTTGCCAGTTGTTAAGTGAATCATTGCAGTTGTTAAGTTAGTAACACGATAAGTGAATCTGGCTTTCCCATTAACAGGTCACAAAAAGTGTTCATATGACCCCGAGACAATGCAAGTGTCATAGTGAGTCAGTTGCCAAACATTAGAATTTTGATCGTGACCTTGGGAATGCCGCAATGGTCCTATGTGAAAAATGGTCATAGGTCACATTTTTCAGTGCTGTTGTAACTCTGAACGATCACTAAATAAACTGTTGTTGAGGACTACTTGTACTATCTGTTTTAAATTGGACTAAGATATTTCAAATAGTGAAGAAATACGTTTTGTCTAATCCTATTGTTACCAAGTGAAAATTCAAGTTTTCACCTGAGTGAACAATCTGAGTTCTAGACATTCTTTTACCAATTTTCCAAATTTGCTAATTCGACAGTTCCTATGTGGCCAGACTTTTTGGCTCTTAGCGTGGTTGACAGTGCAGTATGGTGGAGCGGCCGCTCTGCGTGAAGAACGGTCGCGTTTGCGGTGTATGAAAATTAGCGACCATTCACGGTGTAGAGCAAAAGAGCGAATTAAAAACTATTCAAACTGCTCCCTCTATTGCCACATAAGTAACTGAGGGAGCTTGCAGAGCGAAAGCTTGTACAGGCGAGGCGGAGCAGGGTTCAGTAGCTTTAACCCACCTTCTTTCCTCACGCCTTTCCCCAGGGAATAAATACTGTGTGTACGGAATTGCTGCAAGGTGGAGCGAGAAAGGAAAGGCGGTGGTGCTTTTTCCCGCCTTTCCTCTCGTTTTATTAGGGTAGATATAACTAAATGGGAGACGACGTGGGTTTGACCAACCACACCAAAGTCTGAGGACGCCCCCGTTGTTGAGGGGAGCGGGCGTCAATCCCAGGACTAAGAAAGGGGGAATCAACCACGCAAGGGAAGTGCGCATCCTCCATTTTGGCTGAGGAAGGGTGGAGAGCTTGGTTTTCTCTCCTTTGCCGCCCTGGCAATGCCCAGTCCTATTCATTACTCGTAGGGCACCGCCAAAGGCGCCCTTTGCGCTTTGCCCTGATCCTGAGGCGAAAGGCAGTGAGAACAAGCGCCTCACAAAGCCCCATATTGGCTTGAAAGGGTCCCAGGAGCAGCAGCAGCAGCAGCTTCCGACAAAATGGAGGACACCACTATTACCAACCATTACCACCATCACCACCAGGAGCCGTGCTGGGCTGCTTCTGAGATGCCTTTTCTTGATTCGGAATAGTTGGGAACACGAAAGAGTCCTCCTGAAGACAGAGACCCTTGTCCTCGGAAAAGACTCATAGACTGCCCCCTTCTTAGGTTTGGGACTTGGTTTCTATTATTCTGCCCCCTCTTAGAAAGGGTTCCAGGTCCACAGCCCAAAGGAGGGGGGGAGCGTATAAAACACTTTGACTTTATTGCTGTACCCAGCCTTACCGCCTCATTTCAGAGCTTGGTGTTCAGCCCTGCTTTTACCCCTTGTCCTTCTGGCAAGAGAATTGCCTTGTGGCAAACAAATTAATGGGCTAAACACCTTCCTGGCTGATAAATGACATGGGGACTTAGGGAAGCCATCGCCCTTTTCTTGGGGAGGGGGAAGAGAGGTAAGCACAAACTTCTGCATTATAACTACTCAGCAGCGACGCTGACCACCGGGCTTGCAAACCTTCAAGTTGAAAGAAGCAGAGGTGCTGCAGCTGTTGGTGGTGGGCAATGCAATTCGGATTTTCTTTAACCTGGTGGAACCAAAGGAGGAGGGACGGAAGGCGTGTGCGGGAAGCTAATTGACAGAATCCTCACGCAATCGGCGACGGAGATCGCCGATAGACGGGCAGTTTCTCCAATGGTTTTGCCTGACACCAAAGCCCTCCCTCTGGGAAAGCCAATGGGCGGGAACACTAGGCGGCCTTTCCCCGGGCTCGGATGGTTAGGTTTTGTCCCTCCTCCTCCCCTTCGCCAGCAGCAGCGTTTAGCCCGGGACTGGACCGAGATAGAGTTGAGGAAGCGTTGGCGGAGCCGCGGAGGGTGCGTTTTACCCGCAGGCGGGCGGGGGGGGGGAGCGACTTTTGCCCAGCTCGGCGAGGGGATCAGAGGAACAGGCTGAGGTAGAAACAGTGGAGCCGGGTTAGACGAACTGGCTTGAAGCCCAGCTACCCTTTCAGGGTGGGGACAGGAGCAGACCAACCGTGTCTCGGGAATAACCCGGGCTAAATACCCCGCTGCGTGTTGTTCTGGTGGCGGCTGCTGTCCGTTCCCCCTTCCCGCCAGTAGATTAGGAAGGCAAGAAAGGGTCAGCGGCGGGTAAGAATCGGGAGGGCGGCAGCCCGGTTGCGACGCGAGACAGGCGCTCGGGCAGACATGCGGAGAGGGCTGCCGTGGGGTATCTGGATGCGTGCGTGTGCAGTGGGGGGGCGCGATGTCTCCGCCCGGCTTTATTTCCAACTGCCTCTTGGGGGTGGTTGTCCCCTTCTCGCGCTTCCCCCCCCCCGGTTCCCTCTTCCCTCGCGGGGGTCCGTAGTTGCGCTCCGCGTTGCGCTCCATGGATCCTCTTTCTCCCCTCCCGTATTGTTTGGCTGGGTCTCTTTAATGGCGGCCGACTGGAGGCGGCAGTGCTGCTAGCAGACTGCAGGGGGCCAAGCGCAACTCCCGGGGCAATTGGCAGAAAGCGAGGTCGGGGTAGATTTCGGCGCTAGAGTCGCGGGCGGGAAGGTGATGGAAGCGAGTTTAGATTCAGTCCCGAGAGTTTTGAACTATGGAGGGCAGATTGGAGGTCTGGGTTGGGGGAGTTCTTCAGCGCCACAATCTCAGGCTAACAGCAGAAACTCCTGTTTGTTGCCCGTTGGGGGAGTCGCGTCCGAAGAGGAAAGACCCGACCCTGGTGTGAAGGGGATATCAGTGAGGCGCCGTCCGTGGGCCAAGAGGCTCCAGTATCCCTTTGGGAAGGGCATCTAGAGGGGTGCTGGGTACCAACTGGAAAGCAGTGGTGGCAACTCCGTTTCTTGCCCATTGGGAAGGGCGTCTCCTGGAGGGGAAGATGGGAAAGCTTACCCGCTGCCCTTGTAGATATTCCCCCCTTCCCTTTCCCCTTGGCGAGCACCTCTTTTCCCTAGGCTGCGGGCCAGTTTGGCGCAGCCTTGGCAGAGCCCAGCAAGGAGCAGGAGCTCCCATTGTGAGTGCTATTTATATATGTTTTCCTGCCTCGGTTCGACCTGCCTTGGGAGGCGGAGGTAGAGCACCCATTTTTGGCACGAGGATTGGGGGTGGGGATTAAGAGGAGGTGCCTCTCAGGGTATGTGGGGGGGGGAGATGGTTGGGTGCAGCAGCTGCTGCCCTAGAGCAAAGCCCCGGTAATGGCCGGGAGGCGACTCCACCCCCGCGGGGTGGGCTCTGTTGCTGCAGACATCGCTCCTGCAATACCAACACTCGCAAGCAGACGACGGGCTCCTGCCGCGGCTCGCCTTGCCCACTGAGGGGCGGGGTATCTTTCGAGTGCCCCCTAGAGTTTTGGAGCGTGCATTAGAGTGACATAATTTTTTCAAGTTCTAGTGGTTCATACTTGAAAATGGTTATGTGTGTCGATTTCCCTTAAAACCTTTGAGGTTGTTTGAGAATCCTGCGGTTGTGTGTTCAGTTGTGTCTCATATTTTCAAGATGGATGCAGTTGCTTTGAGCAAAATCTTTATATAGTAAGTTTCTTTTTGCATTCTGAAAACTTTACATTTACTGGGCCCATTCCCTTCACCTTACTAATTTGGAATCGCTAAATGGCTAAGTCTCTTGGCAAAGGCAACCCTAATAGAAACAACTGCAGGCCTATTGCCTGATACTGAAAACATTAGTCTAAGTGGAGGATTATTTAATATCCTCTGAAGAAACCACTGGTGATATTTCAGTATCCAAAACTATAATTCAGTCTTATATTAAACAAATGGTTTATAAATAAGACCATAGGAAGCTGATTCTTAAAAACTGTCATAATTATTTTATAATTATAGGTGTGCCAAATAATTTCATGGGCATATAAATTAGGTGGTAAATCCATCTTAATAAAAAGGTTTCTAAATTTGGCTAGAACATTGTTACTTAAAAGTTTTATCTTTAATGCTGATGTGAAATCATGCAAACGTTAATGTACATGTTACTATTACAGTTCAATTTCATATTAGGCCAAGGCTTTGCTTGACTTTTTTTTAATCTTAATCTTTTCTTAATCTGAATTTCTTACTCTTACTCTGAATACTTTTAGTAGTATTAGAGATAACAAAAGATGTTACTTTTACTAGCATTGTTTATTTTGCTCTCCCCATGGTCCAAAGTAGACAATTAAAAAATAGCAGTTGCAGTCCTAGGATTAAAAAAAAACCTCAGCTATGTCAAAAGAATAGATATATTCAAAATAAAAATAGAAACACTTCCATGCTTAATAGTTTATTAAGATTCTTGCTTAATAGTGTGCCATGCAAAGCCAGGTTTTCTATGTTTAAACAGTGGTATATAGCTTAGTATGTGTGAGTCAAATCAATTTGTTAATTCAGTAAAGAAACCTTGAAATTAAGAGACTTGTTAATTCCAATAAGAATAATGCTGTTTTGAAAAATTATATTTTGCTAATTATAAAAGTTGAGAAAGCAGATGGAAATCACATTGGATAAATATAGGAAATAAAATTTAGTCAGCTCTAAAGAAATTTTGCATATTACTTAAACTAGAGAACAGTCTTATTGAGGTCTACTCATATAATAGTTACAAGTAGGCAAGGGAGTTTGGCATGTATACAAGTCTGCCTGCAACTTGTCCTTTAAGACCACCATGTGATATGGGATGAAGAGTTTAAAAATTTCCTTATTTTTGCTTGAATATGAGTGTAGAAGCTGAAATGTGATTCATATCTTTGGCTTGGTTATTCTCATGATTTCATTGGATTATGGCAAACATGTCAAACACAAGGCCTGGGGGCCGGATGTGGCCCTCGAAGTGGTTTCATGTGGCCCACGAAGCCATCCTGGAAACTGAGGGAATGGCCCCGGCTGCCTTGGCTCTGGCTCAGGTCGGCTGGGAGCCAATGTACAATTTTGTGGTGGTCATCTGTGCTGAAACGCATTCAGTCTTAGCTCCACAAGGCCGTCTAGAAACAGCAAGGAGCCAGCCCCTGCCACGTCGGCCCCGCTCCCTGGGTGCATGCTGGGGAGGTGTCACCCTTTGTGAGGAATGAAGAAATGGACCATGCCTTGGCGCTTTCCCAAGTCCCACCCTCTTCTGCCAGAGACCCTTAGATCTGTCCCACTCCTGCCAGGCCCCCACAGACACCCTTGATGCGAACAATGTAGAGCTGGCCATGCTCACCCAGTAGGCCACACTCACTCCAGCCATGCCCACCCAGTAGGCTGCCCCCCCCCAAGGGCAACCACAATGCTGATGTAGCCCTCAATGAAATTGAGTTTGACACCCCTGGATTATGAGAACTTAATAAATAGAAATAGCTTGTAAAGATAAGTTGGTCATACAAAATATTCAATTGAATATTTAACTGAAAGCACAAATAGGTTGGTACTGTTTGCATTGTACTAAATAATCACTTGGTTTGTTGGTTTTGACTTAAATGGTTTTCTGAAATCAGCTATTTTATTTAGTAAGCCATTAATCCAACAATTTAACTTGTATGTAGCTTTGTATTTAAAATTAGCTTTTAGTTTGTTTCTGATAGCATTTGGCATTTTCACATAGAGTATTGAAACCAAATGAATACATTTATGCAGAAATCAAGCATGGGTCTACTGGAGATCCTGACTATCCAAGAACGGTTTTAGTAGTCTTATTCTACTAAACCTCTTCAAATGTTGAGTCAGTCCCAGGCAATATAAAACTTTCATAGAAAGAGTCTCTTCTGACTTATTGTACATGTAAAAATAAAACTCATCTCCACATTTTATTTATGTTTTAAGGCAGGTTATGTGTTTCAACGTGAAACTTTGATTCTCACTTGAAAATTTATGCTGTACACTGCTGATTCTTGGTTTTTCCTGTCAGAAGGAATAGTTAAACAGGCCTGCATGACACTGTGCAATATGTGTGAACTCGTTAGTCTACCTTGCTCTTTTCTAAGAGATAAGGATTATAAGTAATTATTATTAAAGTGATTTTGGCTTAATAGAAAAGGAATAAAACAAAATTTCTAGTTCTCATATAAAGATAAATAAACTACAGACAGACATGAACAAAAATCAATATAACTATGTAGCACTCAAATCTATAAACATTTGGTTCTTGCCCTACAACCACTTTTTTAATGGTAGTTTGGAGCTACAACAGCACTAAAAAATTGACATACAACTCATCCTTGAAGCTTTAACCATTGAACCACCCTCAAGGTCACCTGATTCAATTGTCTTGGCAGCTAGCTGGCATTTATGGAGGTTACAATGTCTTGAAGTGATTGTGATTTGTGTTCTTCCCAGCCAGCGTCTGACTAAGTCAATGGGAAAATCTGGATTTGCTTAACAAATGTGTGACTTAATCTCAATAAAATGGATATATAATCCGGAATGGTCACATATGAGTCGCTTATTGACTGCTATGGTTAGTGACCAAAATTCTGATCCCAATTGTCATAAATTGAGGACAATTTGTACTCCATTTATTCCATTTGAGTTATTCCTAGTCTTGCTGATTATAGTCCACATTTGCACACATTACTCCCACAACATGGAATAACAGTTAATTTATTGTTAATATGAGGTTTTTTTTTTTTAAAAAAGTAGTCTCAACACTCATATTGCAGAATGAGATGGATGATCTATAAATTTAATAAAAACATTTTTAATCTTTAAGGCACCACAAATTGCCTTTAATTTTAATTAGAAAAGGATCGGGTGATGGAAGAATTTTTTCAGCCTATAATTCAAAAGAATTTTAGTCAGTTGTAATACAATATTCTTGTTGAAAATGTGCAAGACAGTATGATTTCATTCTTGCAGGTACTACAGATGAGCAGAATGTTCAGTGTATAGAGCAGCTGTTTTCAGATTGTCTTGCCCAAACTGAAATGTGCTCTTTAGACGTTTTCTTACATATACAGAATTAAACAAGGCTGTTCTTTTTCAGATATGGCCCTAAATATGGTTTTAAGAGCTGGGGTTTAGAGCGGGAAAAGTAAATTATGAACAAAACACAATGATTGATGTAGGAATAAACTGAATGTTTATCTTTGTATTTGCCTGAATATAAAAATACTGACCAGAGAGAAAGGACAGCTTTGGGAAGGTGGACTGGAACATGAGTCATGTGGAGAGGAGGATGAGACATTTCAACCTTGCCCTATTTACTTTATGAGACCTCCAGATATTTTTCTGTCAAAACGAGAATAATCAAAATGGGTCTTGACTGTGCAAAGTTTCAAAACATATGTTTTGGATTTGAAGCAAAAATACATTTTGCAAGTCCATTTTGCATTTCATGCACACTTGGAGAAGCCAGATTGAGAGCTACCAAGATCGTTGCAGTAAGAAGAGGCATATAGGTGGGAAGAAAGGAGGAGGAAAACAATGTGCATAAATTCTTCCTCCATAAAATCACCCTGGGATACCCCAGATTTTGTTTTAACTAAAACCAGAACAACCAAGCATTCTGCATTTTACTTTGGCTAGTCAAGAATACCTCAGCAGAACTTCCAGGAAACTTGTTAGTTTCATGTTCAGGAAAAAAAGTTTCAAATTTGTTCGATAAATAAGCCTGAGAGGTGGTAACTGGCCAAAGATCACCCAGATAGTTGCAAGGATAAGTAGGAACTTAAAAATTTATTGTTATTGATTTATTTATTGTTATTTATTGATTTATTGTTATAATAGTTGGTCTATTTCAAGTTAAGCTGAAACTTGAACTATTTCTAGAGCGATATACAAATGTTCATGTTCTAAGCACCCACTATTTTTGATTATAGTCTTACTACAATTATGAACATACAGTCATATATTTATGAACATGTTTTTAGCAAACTTTAGAGTACACTCATATTTAAAGTCACCAGACAGCATGGTAATTATATGCAAAAATATTGTCTCATTGCTCTTCAAACAGAAATTCACAAATAGGTCAGTGAATTGGTCACTCCATTTGAAGGGTTTATAGTGAGACACCTCCTTTTGATGTAATAAACATTTGTTTTTGTTCCAGTGTCCATTCAAGTTAGTTGAATGTGCTTGTGAATTCATGTTATTTATATTAATTTATATACTTTACATTTATATGCCACCTCAATCCAATAGGGCTCTAGGTCAGTGGTGGCAAACCTATGGCACGGGTGCCAGAGGTGGCACTCAGAGCCCTCTCTCTGGGTACGCAAAAAAAAAAAGGTTCAATCAATCAATTTCAACTGCTTGCGGGGGAAAAAAAGGATCTTGCAAAGTTGGAATTGATTGATTGAACTTTTTAGTCCCACCCAGTCTGCTGTTACCACCGCAGCCATGCCCACCCAGTGGGCCATGCCCATCCAATGGGCCACACCCACCTGGTACTCGACGATGCATAAGTGGGTTTTGGGTTGCAGTTTGGGTACTCAGTCTCAAACAGTGTTTCTCAACCCTGACAATTTTAAGGCATGTGGACTTCAACTCCCAGAATTCCACAGCCAGCATTGCTGGCTGTGGAATTCTGGGAGTTGAAATCCACATGCCTTAAAATTGTCAGGGTT